ACTTTCCTGCCAGAATTTACAGAATTTTCAGTTAAATGGTCCGCTTTTTTGGAAAATATTCAACAATTCTAGTTTCTCTAGAAACCTCCCCAGGAATTTCTGCACCAATTATCCCCAAGTCAAAATTTTAGGGATTTTTTGTTGAACAGAAAGTGCCCCATGTAAACACAACGCAACCATATAAATTATATCCTTTCGTAAAATGGTCCATGTGACATCATATAAAATTTTTGACATTGAATCATCATAGTAAATAGAGCAGAATGGTGAATGACACTCGTTCACATTTTTGGCCTCAACAATCATAGTTGTTTACCACTGGCAGCGGAACTAACCAATAGCAACATTTCAGTCATGTAACTCATGCATTGCCATCTTTTGTCGCTCCTTTGATGTTTGCTGGGCTCCATAATCATTCCCATCTACGACTTCATGTAATCGGAGCAGCTGTTTTCTGATCAAATTCTGTAAAAGAGGCTGCTGATAGCCTGCTGTTTTGTTAACACTCCTATCGCATAAGCCTGATTGTCATTGCCTGTCATTTCACTGAGTGACAGCTAATGTCCCTTATCACCCTTGCTTATCTCGCCAGCACTTTTGTTTTCAATCCATCTTGATACCACACGATCCTCAGGACCGGGAAACAATTTTCCACACATAAGTATTCAAGGATTCATAACGAAAAATTTTTTTACACAAACTGAATGGACAATTATTAAACCTAAAACTGTACATTTTTCATCAACAACTGAATTGTCGCAAAACAACTTCACTACTTAGTTTCTAACGTCTTTGACTGTTAGTTCATATTTCTTTCAGTTTCTTGCCGACTATCGCAAAGAGCCTTTTAGCTTGACGATAAAAATAAGCTTGTGCCTCAAGTCTTAAATTAAAATACGCTTACTTCCTGTTGTTAACTTTGATTTCTACTACTGTACATCTCTAGAACTTATTTAAAGACCCTGTCAAAAAATACCTACTTTTACCATAATACTTTGTCTCTTCTTGTCCATCCAGTGCTTAATTTCTTTGTCCAAGTCAATTTTCTCCAACACATACAAATCTAGCAAGACTGCCGCTGTTGCTGTATCTGTCATGGCGTTAGGCCTCTGTCTTCCTTCTACATTACCTGTGTGTTGATTTTGCCACAACAAACAAAATGCTTGGGATAAACTCAGTTCCCTCTCCGCGATGGAATGTTTATCGAACCTGTCAGAAGCGAGTAATTCGCCAATTTTGGCTGAAACGACCCATTCGGAAGCCATTACGAAAATTTCAAAATATTTAGCCGAATATTTTGCCAATAGTGTGTCGAGAGTGGGTAGCCTGTGCATCATGGAGACTGTAGGGGAGGTACTCAGGGATAAGAATGTAGCGTGAGAGGGATGGTGGTAAAATGACAACAATATCAAAACAGAACTCACTTAGCGACAACTTCCAAGATGGCAAACCACAAGGTTCCGAGGTTTTCGACATGGACCAGCGAAACTTACATCGATCCTATAAATATGCCGGCAAACAGGTATTATACACCGCATTTTATGGCATACCGAGATAATCAACGATACGGCGAAGGCAGAGAAAAATGGTTTCAAGATTACCGTCGCTCGCACATCGCTGAAAAAACCCTGGTCAAGAATTTAAACACCCTTGGCTCTCCCTACAGACCAACAAGCTTTTCTGATAAACCAGATCGTGTGTTAGGCACTCGTTGCTTGCGAAGAGAAGCTGTTTTGAAAAAGCCACGGCATCACCTCACTAACAGAATTCCAGATCGTGAGAGAGACCGTGCTCAAATTGACGACATTACTTTTCAACACCGACAGCAATACAGAGACCAAAGTGGGACTTTGTTTGACCAAAAACTCGATTATTTTCACTACCCGACTACAGCAGAGCAGCAGTTTTTGCCTAAAGTAAGTCCTCCAGAGGGAACGATCGGTGATTATCCAAACTGTACAAAAGCTTCCTTGGAATACACTTATGATAAGGGGAGAGGCCCTAAAGACTACGAACTTTGGCATAAAGTGTAGAGCGAGATTGAGGACGACTTCTGCAAACATAGCGAGGGATTGAGACTCCTAATATGAACAGATATCGTTAGTAAAAGAGAAAATATTAATCTTCGTTCATGGAAGTGGAAGGTTTTTATCAAATGTACATCTTTTGGTCGATTCCAGAGTATAATAAGGTTTCTGTAGATGTCAGTTGTTAAGCTAAATCTGCAATTTGTTCCGATATATATACAGCTTTATTTTTATAAGTTTACCAATACAGCAAAGCTTACCAGATTCATTAACTTAAAACTAAAGTTTTAACTTAAAAAACCGAAAAGTGTTAGGAGCCGGCCCAGTATGCAGGCGTTTCGGGTTAATCTTGAGTTAAGCCATCTTGATTATTTGGCGTCCTCTGTCCTTTGAGACCGGTTGTCAAGTTGAATAACTTATCATTTAGTGATTAGTCACTGCCAACAGTGTATATGAAAAGTGCAATTAAGAGACTAACGGATTAAAAACACATTTCAAGCTTAATGCAGGGCTAGATATGTGTCTTCCATATGTTTTTTGTATTATTTTCACAGAAATCTGAGGAGAAAAGCATCTCATTTCAACAAATCTAGATGTGAGACAAAATTAAGTTTTCCCCAATTAAAATATGTTAAGATAAAAATAATTACATTTAGTAACTTGTAAATGAATTTTTAAGTTTCCTGTTTAATTTTTTTCCTTTCTTGTAAAATTACGAGGAGAAAAACATAAAGTTGACACAAAGCTTTCAAAAGTTGTCTGAATTCCTTTCGCAAATATGTTGAGATTCATTTTGATTACTGGGCTGAATTATAGCCTTGTAAATAAAATTTTTACCATACGACCATAATCATGTAATGCTACTGAAAACAATGAGGTTGACCCAAGGATGTGAGCCAGTTGGAAGCCATCCGGCCTATTACACACTTAAGCCCTGGCCAACTTGCAAGTAGTTGCAAGTAGCCCCAAGTTGATCTTATGTTGAAACTTGCATTGGGTGGCCAAACAAACTCGCAAGTAGCCCCAAGTTGATCTTATGTGGAAACTTGCATTGGGTGCCCAAATGGACTCGCAAGTAGTACCCAGTAGCCCTAAGTTGATCTTACGTGGGAACTTATGTTGGGGGGCCAAACGAACTCGCAAGTTTCCTTACAAGTACACACAAACACATTTCAAGGCAGACATATCCTGTATTTTATTGACTGATAATAGCTGGTGAATGGACGCCACTCAACTTGCATTGACTTGGGTTGGGTGGCCAAACAGTGACAAACTTGCATTGAATTGTGTCCAAATTTGATCTCAAGCAAAGTGAGCACAAGTCATCGCAAGCGCACCCAAAGACAGGCCAAATGGCATAATTCATTGAACATGTGCAATTTAGACAAATATTCACTGAGAAATTTTCACAAGGTGTAACAAACTCAAGGTCAGGAGAGTTGGCATTCTGATGTACTCATTTTGTTGACTCAAGTTAGTTCTGGACGGACTGGGGAAATGTTAGGCTTTCTGTCAGGATGTACAGGCTTTGCTGTGGTAGATCTCTATGCCCTGACCTGAAGCCAGATATTTTCTTTTGTAGCCCTTCCACTCAGTGTTACATGTAGTAACCTTACATTATTGTTTTTGACCTGCTATATGTAACCACATCTTGACTTGTACAGTGACCACCTATCTGGATTTCATCAGTGATAAAATCATTTAAACAAAGCAAAACTAAAATGGATTATTCTCCACCCAAGTCCTTGGTGTTTTTCTTGGATTTGCATTGTTTTAACATTTTTAATAAAAAAAATGAACATGTCTATTAATATGTTGTCAGTCTAAAATCCCTAACAAGCAAATGCATGACTATTAGTTAATTTTGAAAAATTCAAATTGACTTAAAATTTAGATTTGTTCAAATTAACCAGTAATTTGGGCAGTTTCAGGTAGTTGACTTCTGGTAAATCCAATTTATGCACTTGTCAGTGTTTTTTCGTCGTCTAACATTTTGACCTATGTGAGCCGTGCATGCATGGAGAAGTGTGGAAAATTAGCAAACCTTTGTCTTGCACTACAGTGCAAGTAAAGAATGACAACGGTGGAAATGGCAGTGGGAAAGGCCATTAAAATCCCAAGTTTTTCATCATATAGTCTTCACTTACACACAAAGAGAAGAGTCGAATTAGCTAAAAGTGTCATAACCTGGTATTTCAAGGCCTGTGTTGGACATGGCGAGCATGTGCAAGGGTTATCCACACTAGTGTTGTAATGAGTAACAAGGTCTTTGAATAAATTAAAATGATGAGAACAAACTTTGGGTTAGCAAAATCTGTATTTTCATTATGATAGCAAAACATTCCTCTCCGAATTTTTTTGATCCATGACTCTGGTGAAGCATAATTTTTTGCGTAACAAATAAATAATAATAATTGCAAAAGTAATTTCCATGGTTTGTTTGCCCAGTAGTATTTTCTCTCTTATCGTGTTTGCTGATTTCTCCATATTATGTTCTTTACTTCAGCTGGGTTTGATCTGAAAAAAATAATTTAAAAAATGTATGTAAGACTGAGCTTTTTCATGTAAACAATTCATCTTTTTTAATAATTTTCATTAGTTGAAACGCTTATGTTTACCCTGAGATAAAGGATTTTATAACTTTTAAACAGTGTTAATCAAGGTAAAGAAATCATATTTTCAGCATGCATACAAGCTCTACAGATGTGCCAGGAAAGCACGAACAACTACGTGGCAAGGTATTACTAAAACATTGAAGACTATACTTAAAAGATCTCTTTACCTTTATCTGGAAAGTGCCGTCTTTCTCTGTGTTTTTGAGGAGTACTTTTGAAGTCCAACCGGCTAGCATGGTGTTGATTTGAGTCGCCTTTAAACACAGCACTTGCAAACGCGCTTGGATCATGTTTCCTGTTTGCTCGTAACCAGTCTTGCTTGGAATTGAGTTCCACGGTGCACCAGGATTCCACGTTCATGGTAATTCTTGAATTGCCAGCGAAGTTTCAGGAACTTTTATGGAAGTCGTTCCGAAGCTTGACTTCTCAACTCTGCTTTGTTTGATTTGTTTACAATGAATGAGTCGTTTCTATGGAAATGACGCTAGTTCCAGTTCACTGACCTGTGTTGGAATGCTCCTTCAAATTAAAGGCCTGGATGCAAAGCAGCAGGCCTGGTTTTGCTACACGAGGAGCGAGGGAAAATGGCTGAATTTGAGTGAAAGTTGTCAATAATATTATCCCGGTTATTGTTGCAAATATGCATGATTTGTCCTAAAATACTCAAAGGAGAAGGCTTCTTCAGCTAAACGAGATGTATGCGATTTATAAGCAGAATCATCCGCCCACAGGGGTTGAACACTGTGTGTATTGCCAGTTCTTCTCTGCAGTGGAACACAATCTTGTTGTCGCAGGCACATCACAACTTCGTATTTACAGGTTTTATACACAAGACGAGGTGAGCAGTTAAACAAGCCCTTCACAGCCGATTTATGCTCAGTACAATAAGAAATGTTTAACGCCAAGCGTTATTATTATTATTATTATTATTATTATTATTATTATTATTATTATTAGAGTCCTTCAGGCTTTCAGCTGTTTATGAAAGGAATATAATTTATTACATTTCTTTACAGCAAAATGCGGTAGGATCAACATCCACAGACAAGACAGCAGGTTTGTGCTTTTTATTTTTCCTTATCATTCATTAGCGATGCAACTTGAGATAAAAATTAATTAATACTTAACATAAATTGCTTCTGGTGATATTTTATTAAACAATCAATGCCTGGCCACAAGTCAAACAGTGAGTTTTGTTTCCCTAAGATCCTCAATGGTCAAGGAGAAAAAGAACTCACTGTTTCCATGGTGACAACTATTAAGTACTTTGCTATATATGTCCCAGCTGAGAAATGCACTATGTTGTAGTTATTGTTCACCACTTAATTTTCTGGATCATGTGTACTTAAGACATTCGCAGTTGAATATCGATCGACACCCTCGCTCAACACTCGATCCACATCTTGACTGACACTCAGTTGACACTTGGTTGAGACTCAATCAACATCTGATCAACAGTTGGTCGAGAGTCTGCTGAGTGTTGACCAACTCATATGTATCAATTGACACTCGATGGCATATCTGCAAACATGAGTCAACTCTTGACCAACTGTCAACCAGGATGTCAATCAAGTCTCAATTGAATGTCAATCGAGTGTTGATCAAGCATCGATTGAGTGTTAGTTGAGGGTCGATCTTGGGTATGGATTGAGGATATCGATTGATACTTGACCGTGGAACCCTTTAGTACATGTGATCCAATTTTCCTTTGGCTAAAAATGATACGAATTTAATTATTGAAAAAGTTTTATACTGCTCAATATTTTGGTGCTTTGGACTCTCAAACTTGAAAGTGTTAAGTGTAAAATATGGATTGGGTAAACAAGCTATGAAATGATATGAGTTACTGTAAAAATGTTCACAATTTTGACACCCATATTTACAGTTTTCATTTAAAAAAGTCTTGGTCATGCTTGGGTTTGTTATCATAACGTTACATTTGGATCAGATTATAAAGTTTTTGGTGTAATAAATAATTGTACATTCTGGTAATCATCTAGGGCATTCTCATGTTTTTTGTTTGAAATACTCTAGCAATAAAATATAGCAATTACATTTAGCTGTAGGCAAATGAGCTCCCATTCAAACTTGTTACGTGCTGGATGTTCTAGTGTAGATGTGACATAAAATACTTGTAGAGTGCCTTAACATCAGACTTTGTGTCTTCATTGCAATTTAGACAACACCATGAAGAGAAGGAAGCTGGAGCTACTGAGCCAGTACTCCTTGTTTGGTAACATAGAGTGTCTTCAGGCCGTGAGATTAGCTGGAAACTCAAGGGACTCACTTTTGTTGAGCTTTAAGGATGCTAAGGTGCACTATAGATACAGTTGTCTTATTGTAATGAGAAACTAGCCCTCTATGGACATTTTGTTATGACAGGTATTTTACCAAGATTGTTAGACATGTTGTTGAGCTGTTACTTTCAAATCTTACAATAAGAAGGATGGGTACTTCATAGATTGAGTCTCGCTCTGAGATCTTCCATTTCACTGTGTCTTTTAACTGTAAATAATTGCAAAAATAATTTTGACAACCTTAAAACCATTCTGGTTAAAAGTTGAAAAAGTGAAAAAGGTTTTGACGACATTGTGACATTCGCAAATCAAAAACTAACACTTAAAGCTTAATGTCATCAAAAACTTTTTAACTTTTTAAATTTTTAACCTGATGGTTTTAAGGTTGCCAAAAAAATTTTTGCAATCATATATAGTTAAATTACATAGCAGAAATGTCTTTACCAGAGTTAGTATACTGTGAAACCTCTCCATATAGCCTGGACATTTCACTGGGTCCCCAGCAAAATCTTCTGACAATTTCTGTTTAATTGAGAAGAACCTCTGCTATAAGAAGAGTTCTGTAATATTGACAGCCAATTCTAGAACTCAGCCACAGACAGCAAAATTAAAGTCTAATCTCATTACCTCGTTATTACAAGCACTTATAGTACATGCCCAACCTCCTGGAACACGTTTTTGTGTTTGATTTGGATCCATGTTAACTTCTCATCATGATTCAAAAAACAGTTTACATCTTTATACAATTCATGTTTGGGTACTTTTGCTGTAAAATAAGCTTTTCATGTATTTAGACACTGGAGCCCTTTGAAATGATATCAATTTTGTGACCTTCATAGAAAAGCTTTCTTACAGACACCTTGGTCTGTTCCTATAACAAGTATGTTAACGTAATACATTTCAGTTTGCTGTCATTGATTATGATCCTGGCACACATGACCTGAAAACTAGAAGTTTACATTTCTTTGAAGATGACAAGTTTATAAAGGTTAGTCAATTGTTAAGATTACTGTGAACCTTGGAATCATGATGCAAAATTGTCATTAGAATTAGCTCCTAAATGTTTATGTAAGAAAATCTCGGCAGACTTTGGGCAAACTAATTTTACAAAAGTTTTTTCGAACTGAAAGTGAAGGTTTCAAGTAACTGTTTTTTTGTTTTGAAGCCTTCAATATCTGGATCATGAATTTAATGTATATAAAAAACTAAAAGAATGTTAAATGAATGCATCTGGAAATAAGAGAGCAGAGCAATATACGATGTCATGAGTTTTTGGTCTTTTCTATTCATTTGCAAAGACCAGATATATAATTCTCCACTGAATTAAATATCTAAATAGTAAAAAGTGCCCAGAAATGATTTTCGATGTTGTGAATGTGTCACATTTATTTTTAGTTAGTAAGTTAATTAATTAATGAATTAATTGTCAGATTTAGAATGACAGTGCTCTCTGATATTCATATTCTCTGTATATTTTCTACCACAGAGCTGTAATCAAGAGTATTTTCGACCTCCTCTGGTTCGAGTGGATCCTGATCGACGTTGTTCAGTCATGCTGATCTATGGAACACATCTTGTGGTTCTACCTTTCAGACAGGAAGGAGTGTTAGATGAACACGAACAAGAAGGAGCTTTTACAGGAAGGTATAGTGTACATATGCTGCCAGGTGTTTAGCCAGATGGGTGTCCAGACGTCATGTAAATGGCCACTTTTTAAAGAAAATTGTTTTATTTTTCATATGCTGCCTTACAAATTGTTCATTTGAGCAGGCCTTATAATGCATTTTGGACGTCCCCTTTTAAATCCTGGCTAAAAGCCTGTATGGTGCCCAGGGGGGTACTCAGGTGTACTCAGAAAATCGCAAAAGGAAAAAAATCGCAGGGGCAAAAAATCACAGGCAAAATCGCCAGACCTGAACAAGGTCAATGTTCAGAACGTAACCCCCCAAAAGTCGTTTTATTAATCTGTAAAATAAATTAAAAGACAAAACATTGAGAATGTTCCAGACAGGATTTACATCCATCTTTCTTTATTCCTCGTGTATCGGTCTAGGCAGACTCCAGTCATTCATAAACCACTAGAACTCTCCTTTTCATTTGTATGTAGTTCACATCTGTCTGGGATTGTCCATCAGTGAAACTGATACAATTGTTTGCGACAAAAATGAGAGAGCCCCTAATAAAGTCTTTACCAAAACATTTCACCAAGAAACTTCTTTGCAAAATTTCTAACTTTAAAAGTCCTGCAATTCTTGTCTGTAGGTATCTATCTACATTTGTTCGAATGTATTCCCTCATCTCCTTTACCACTCACACATATTCCAGTTTCCTGTCATACATCAGCCCTTTGGCTTTTGATTGGTTTTCACTCAGTGCTATCATCACTTTCACTCACATGAAAAATTCCTGTAATGAGAGTGGAAATTGATGTGACAATTTTTTCCTTGTAGCGGTGATCGTTCTCCTCTGTTACCAAGTTACACCATCAATTTAAAAGACATTCATGACAAGCTGTGTAATATAATAGATGTTCAGTTTCTACATGGTTACTATGAACCAACCCTGCTGTTACTCTATGAACCATTACAGACTTGGCCAGGGTGAGTCATTCTTATTAATTTTTATTATTTATTTACTAAAATTAGTTCTTATTAAATACATGTATGTGTGCATCAGTGTTAAGTTAGCATTTTGTTAGTGTACTAATGACAAGGAAAGCCCTTCAATAATCTTTTTTCCTGTCATATTGTACCAACACCCTTCTTAAGTCTCCAGTATTGCCCTTAGTTTTAGTCCTGTGAGTAGAATTGTGCTGCTTTGTGATGCGGATCCTTTCCAACAAGGCAACATCTTTCTTAAGATGTGGGTCCCAAGCTGTGCTTGTATATTCCAATTAGGCTGCACCAGAGCTGTATAATTTTATGTGGTTTCTCTGACAAGTTTCAGACAGCTCTAAATGTTGCGTTTTATCATACCAAGGGATTCACTTGTTTTGGCTGCTATCAAAGAAACATGGTCTGTTCACCTAAGATTGTTGTTGAAAGTAAGTCCAAAATAAAGGTGTGCTCCTGTAGCATTGTAGGCAGAAACTGCTGGTCAGTACTTTGCAATTCAACACTATTTTTGTTGTTGACAGACGTCTTGCCATGCGTCACGACACATGTGCCTTGGTAGCTGTTTCGTTAAACTTGTCTCAACGAACTCATCCAGTTGTGTGGTCCTTGAATAATCTGCCATTTGACTGTAGTCAAGTTCTTGCTGTTCCAAAGCCAATTGGTAAGTTGCAATCATGTGACATTTCAGAATATTTGGTGTTTTTTTTTTTTGGTAACAGCATCAGTTACCTGGATGAAGTTGATTATAAAAAGGGAAGTTATTCACCACCTGTGCAACCCATGTAAATCTTCTTCCTTCCATTGAAAAGAAAACCTGAGGGAGATCAGTGAGTGGTAGTATCATTAAGTGCCTCCAGAATAACTGACTTTTTCTTGTGTGATGCAATAGACACATAGAGAGAAACATTAAAGAATCAATGCATTGCACAAAATAAACAGTTTTTTCTTACATGCAAGTGTTAAGTGGAGGACAGGTTCAGTAAAATGTTCACAAAAGTGAAGTGAGAAACACAAATGCTTATGCTTACCTTTTGTGTGTACTCATTTACTAAGAATGGATTGGAGAGATTAAAAAGAGCAGATTAAAAAGAGCCATTTAATAAATACATGTACTTTATTGAAATAGCTTGTCCAGTCCATATTGGGAATATTGGTTGCATTCTTTTTTTTTTTTGAAAGTTTAAAATCCTGCAGAAAAAGGGTGTGACTCATATTTCACCAAATAAAGGGAAAAATTTCTCCAATATGGACCTCATGCTAGTTCAGTAACATATATTTATTATAAATAAATAAAATCATGTGATTTATCAGCTTCTAGAGTAGCTTCTTTTTCAAAAGAAACAGATTGAAATAATTTGTCCAGAATCTTTTATGAGAAAACATTTAAAACCATGTAAACTGTCTGGTACATCAGTAAGTAAAAGTTCCAAATGTTCATGTGTTGGGGGAAGGCCCAGTAATTGGCCGGTAGTTTATTCACAGTTTCATAAAGATTTGAAGCTGAAATAACTAGCAGGGACATCTAGATAGCATTTCCATCCAACTTTCTTTAAGTGATCTGTGTTTAATTGATTCCACAGGTGGAGTGTTGATTTGTGCTACAAACTCATTACTGTACTTGAATCAAAGCGTTCCTCCTTATGGTGTGTCATTAAACAGCATCGCTGATCACAGTACAGAGTTCCCTTTAAGTAAGAATCAGTTACTTAACACTTCAGATCATATTGTAGCCTACTGTGAAGTTCCACAAATTGTTGCTCTTGTTACTTTTGGCTTTTGTAGAATTGCTCTATCGCTGCTTTTGGAGGTTTGCAACTTTCAGTAGCTAATTAAAATGATTGCCACATGTTTGTCATTCTCATGAAGTAAAAATGTTTTCTAGTGTATAGAGGTGAAAAAAATAAATATTGTTGAAATTAATTTACATTGCAGTAATCTATTGCATATGAAATAAGGTTAATCTGTAACAAGTATTACATCACTTTAATTTGGGTGGTATCTTTTTCAGTTATTTGCATTGAGAAAATACCACTTTCATTTGGATGACCGTTGCTTTTTGAGTTTGGGAATTGCTAGTAACCATAATTTTCTTTTTACTTCAGAAGCGTTGCTAGTTTTTGTGGGGGAATTTTTTTGGTTTATGGGGGTGGTTTATCACATACGCTGATTTCATTCTGTGGGAAGAAGTCAGGTGTGCTGTTCCTGACGCTTAAATGCGGGATTCCAGAAAGTATCCAGAGCCCACGCCAGGGCATATATCTACAAGCAGGAGGGAAATGATATAAAGCAAGTTCTGTTCTTGTATTTGCATGGCCTGCTCTACCCTGTGAAATACCATTGATACTATGCAGTTAAAGATGTGTAAATTTATTGTGCAAATTCTGTTGCACAGGACCCCAGGAGGGTGTGGTTATAACCTTGGATGGTGCTAAAGCTACTTTTATATCATCTGATAAACTTGTCTTCTCACTCAAAGGTGGAGAAATGTAAGTTCATCCAGTATGACTGTGTTGTAACTTGTTATTTTCAATCCTTAAACAATGAAAGAAAGAAAAACAGGTTTATAATTTTTATCTGCCTTTCTTCTTTCAATAATTGCTTAACATTGTAGTACTGGAGATATTAGTTTCTAAAAACACTCTTTTGCTGGATTGGCAGGCTAGTTGCATATTGTCCAATTTCCTTTCTTTGATCTTCTTGGAAATTGGATTTTCAAGTAATGTTTCTACATCTTCCTAAACATAAGAAACATGAAAATTGTCTGCTATTATGTGGAGGGCCTCCAGCCATTACAACACACTAATTAATAATTAGACTATGAGCTGGAGATTTCTATGAGGTGATAGTTGATGAGGCCACCAACTATCACCTAATAGAAATCGAGAGCGAATAATCTAATTGTTTTAGTAGAATTCTTACTAAAATTTACTTTAAATAACTGTTTCCAATTATTTCTTGACGTATTATTAAACTCTGCACCTGAAAAGGATCACTCGGATTGAATTGTCATTTAAAATTGAAGTTGTGTGTGTGCACGCATCAGTTTTTTCAATAATTTCAACTTTTTCAAATGTCAAGAAACTGTAAATGTCCTTCATTTTGACTTCTCAGGAATTTAATTATCCATTTGCTGCAAAAGTTTCCTCCAAAACTTTGGAAAAACAAAAAAAACATCGCCATTTCCTAGATGACCTCCAGCTACTGCACACTAATGGCTGATAGTGTTCAATGGTTCAGCCAATCCGATTACAGCATTCGCATTAGTATACCAGTAGAATTCTACTAATGGCTGATAGTGTACAATAGCCCAGCCAATCAGATTGCAACATTTGTATCAGAATAGTAGTAGAATTCTACTAATCATTGGGAGAACCAATCAGCTATCAGATTTCCAGAAGAACACACTGATAGTGTACTAATATGTATGCATATTATATTTATTGCTCCCAAGTGTATTGTTGAGTTATATAAGCATGAGGCATATTGTTTGCAACCTTTTAAACGTTGCATAATACTGTCTGTATTCAATGTAATGATTGTGTTTTATTTCTCAGTTATGTTGTTACACTGGTAGCTGACGGTGTGCGAAATGTCAGGAATTTTAATTTTGACAAAGCAGCTGCAAGTGTTCTTACTTCATGTGTATGTATCATTTCCTTTATCTATGCATAATAATTGCTATAAGTTTAAAAAAGTAACTTGTGCATGTCTTGAAGTCAAACCACATCCATCCTGTTACTGGAGCAGGCAAAATTAGGATATAGAGGGCACTTTGAACCTATTTAAGGTTGAGAGCTCTCTATTGGCTATTTTGTAGCAATTGACATACTACCTTAATAGAAAACATCCATCCATCCAGTAGATATGTTCTATTTGGAAAAGGTTTCATTTTGAAAATTTTCAATAGAACTATTGCTAAGCATGATGAAACAGAACTTCTCACACACTGAATGCCATTTGTCTGCCACAGAAGGCAACAGTACTTTATTAGCAAACAACAAACCTGAAAACAGCATCTACAACGACTAATGGTACGACATATGCAACATCAAAGCCTAAGCCTGTAGGCAAAAAAGAATGAAATGAATGATGTTGACAATACGTAGAATGTATCAGACGAGTGCAGAATGGCAAAGGGCAAGGTGGGCGGGAAAAACTGTTGCTCATACGGCAAGAAACAGAAAACTGAGTCACAAGACCTAGCGTGACATGTGATATCCTAACTCAGGCCCAGTCCCTGCTTCAGTGTGTGAGAACCTCATTTCTTGCCTCTTTCGCTAGCTTAGCAGGCAAGAAATCCATATGTTTTCAGGAGTAACTGCAGTTGCCGATTTTTGTGTCTCTTGGTAACCAGACAGCCATCAATAAAAGAAGTCAATTTTCTTGCAGGTTTGTGAGTGTGGTGATGGGTATTTGTTTCTGGGATCTCGACTCGGTAACTCATTACTTGTAAAGTACACTGAAAAAGCTGAGGAACTGGGTAAGTTCACATGTCAGTAATGTTCTTGTGAGTAATAAGTATGTAGCTATACAAAGCAAGAATAGAGTGCAAGTCTATAATCATGTGTTGGAGATCAACCTTCAGTGAAATCTCATAACCCTGACAAGCTAAAGCCTTCTAAGATACAGTTTTTACTTTAGTTCTTAAAAAACATGTTATCCCCTCTAGTCCCTGGCTGACATACTGGCATATTTTTCAGCGTGGGAGTTGTTGTGATGGCGTAGTGAAGAATGTTTTTGTTTTCAGCTTGAGGATATCCTTGAGATGTGTGCCCCTATTTACCCAAAAACATAAATAACAACTATAGCATTTTTGGTGAAACCCGCTGAAAATACTGGGGGAAGCCAAGGGGTTTGCTGTGATGGGGTAGATCTAACATCTTACTGGCAGGATTAGTAATATGCAGTTAGTAGTAGGATGTGTTAAGTGATCAGGTTCTTTTCCATCCCTTGAACCTGGACAGATATTAACATTATAAATAAACATAAAGCAGGCAAAGACATTCTAGGTATAAATACGAAAAGTAATGAGTTTTCTGACATGCCTACGGAGTGTNCAAGATCGGAACATCAAGACAGGCACAATCCGGAATCTGCGCCAAAATTCACAGCTGATCCACGATCCACAAACCATGCGCTTTTTAAGGCCAAATCGGTCGATCTGAAAACCTATTCACCCCCCTCCTGTAGCTTTGCTTTTTGACAGTGCATTTGTATCAGCTGTACTGTTGCACAAGGAGTCATGTTGAAGTCCTTCGTGACTTTTACTGTGCTACTCCTTTATTCTTAAACCTCAGCAGTAAAGGCCAGTGATTACTGCACCACATAAATGACTGTTTAAACAGAGGCAATACCATGAACTTCACTCTTGTCATCGTTTCTAATTCCCCATCTGGAAAATAGGGCCTATAAATTTACTAAGCAATTGTGACTAATTTTCCAAGCAGTTATTCCTTTATGAGCTTGAATACTATACCATTCAGGAAAACATTTTTAAGGTGGTTGAATACTTCTCATTAACAAATCCAAAAGGGTAGATTCACTTTCATTTGCATCCAAATTAGAAATGTGTTGTTCAGTATTGAGCCTGACATGACATTTTTTCACCCAATGAACATGCTAGAAATTCCACTGACAGTTATTTTATAATTTGCAATATCACCTGAGAGTTTTACTTGAAGGCCTGATTAAGATTTGTCTTACAATTATGTTGGACAGATGATCTGGACGAGTTAGAAGTGTACGGTAAAGAAGAACAGTCTGGGGTCAAGTTAACATCATACACATTTGAAGTGAGTTCTTGTTGCTGATTAGCTACACTAAGGGAGGGTTGTAGGGACAACCAAAACAATACGAAAACTTGTCTGCTGGATGAGTTTAGTTTACTCTACCAGAAAAAAAAATTCTTAAATTTTCTCATGAGTTCCCTGCATTCTGACCACTTGTCATCCATTTGGAACTTTTAGAAAACAGATAAAGATTTGTGGCTTTCTTTCATGATAAAATCATCATTTTGGTCCACCATCTTGGATGATGTGGTATTCTCCATGAATGAAATAATTTTAGGCTCAAGTTTCATTTTGTTAACCGCTGATGCTGACTGTACTGCATCTGCATCCTTTACAGCATGTGGTGCAGCTGTTTTGATCAGGATATGGCATTTAGTAGTTTAATTGGAAAAATAAGCCAAATATGAGCAAAAGCATCCCTTTCAGCCTTCATGGCAGTCGAAGAGGCCCTAGTTTTCATTTGTACCTGCATTTTCTGTGTCAGCCAACAGCCGCAACTATGGACATAATGTACTGGGAGACTGGTCACTCAAAAATATTAAAAAAGGAAATTTTCCATTTACATGTTGTTCTGTCACCATTCTTCCCTATTGAACGGCCAAGTAAAATTTTGCCCGGCTGACAACTTGGAGAAAAAAACAAAAAGGATCCCTGTAATAGAAGTGTTGTTCAGTTTGGCTGGCTGTAAATGATACAAACCTCAAAAGTTTAATAGCTTTTAAAATAACATCTCTTATATCTGTTTTGTTAGGTATGTGATAGCTTGCTTAACATAGGGCCTTCCACATGTGTTGATATGGGAGAACCTGCATTTCTCTCGGTGAGTGCAACTATAAACTATGTACTGCAGTTTAAGACATCGTCTTGCAAACTCAAGAGATTTCTTTGTTGTATACCAGCTATTTTTGCATTGATATTATGAGCCATGTTAGGGTCACAGAACACTGATAATACTAACAACTTGTGTTTATTTTTTTCCTTGTAATTTTTTTGTTCTTCAACTGATGTTTGCTTCAATGTCATCCATCGCCATCGACAGGAAGAGGTTTGTGCTCTTTGTTATGTAGTCCTATTTCTGTATGTTAAGAGAGCTCTCTTGGTTCCCGTGGATTACAAAGACAAATTCATTTTCTAAATTTTAGTTGTATAGCATATTTACTTCATCTATTACACAACCTTTTCCAATCTTGAGTTCAATGCTTATCTAACACATGACATAAGAAAACCTTTTACAGTGTTGTACATGATAGAGGACTTTCAATGATTTTGATTGATGTTTTATGCTTGAGACTGTTTCCATTTCCATATTTTGATAGTTTGCTGGTGGTAAGGAGCTGGATTTGGAGCTTGTTTCATGTTCTGGGTATGGAAAGAATGGTGCATTATCAGTTCTTCAGGTATGACATATTTTTATTGTTTGTTGCAAATTTCATTTTCAGTTTGACATCAAAATTGTAGTCAATTTTATAAAATCTGGCAGCCATGTACTGTTTTTCTTTTAAACTTATTTTTGTTCATTTAATTTCTAGATGAATGTGTACAAATAAAGTTGTTGTTGTTGTTGTTGCTTCCAGTGATAAGATAAAAAGAGAACTGTTTTCAGGTTTCTTTTCAATGGATTGTTTAACATGCAAATAGACATGCGAGGATCATTCCTTCACTTTACACTCTCTGTGCAGTTTATATGTGATATCATTTCTTCAGCAGTACAAATGTGTTGTGGCTACCTTTATTTTGATGTAATATATATCAAACACGTGAGACAGTGTTTCATCGGGATATCCAAACACCAAGAATAGAGTTTAAATATGATGCGCAGCAGAATATTTTTGACGAAATTCAAGGTGTTTGGATATCCCAGTGAAACACCGTCTCATGTGTTTGATGTAATTCTCAATCAAAACAAAACTAAGGGGTAAACGGAGAACTAAAATCGTCAAAATCTATGCTAATTAAGATCAGGTATCCAAACCCTCTTCACAGTTGTGGTTGTCTTTGTTTTAACTTGATGAATTATCAATGAGTTCGAGAACAGTTATTCCAGAACTCCAATAACAGTTTATTCCATGTGTCTTCTTGTAGAGAAGTGTTAGGCCTCAGGTTGTGACAACCTTTGAGCTGCCTGGATGTGTGGACATGTGGACAGTGTTGTCTGGTGATCAGGTAATTGATCTTGTATCCATGGATTGTGATGATGATACGATCCAGTGCAATGCAATGCAATGCAATGCAGTGCAATACAATGCAGTGCAATACAATACAATTAATTTTTATAAAATCAAAATTTATTATGTAAAAAAAACAAAGGAAAATGTCAGATGTTATCCTTGTTGAGGATGTTTAAGCACATCTTTAGACAAGTATGCACATTTTTTTCAGCTATCTCTATAGAAACTGTTGGAGAATAGATGTCTGAAAGTACCTATTTTGAAGTTAACTTTTTACTTTTACTTGACAGTAAAATCAATATGTATTTAAGGCAATTTTGGGCAGAAACTATTAGAACTATTGTTAACATGTGGCAATACAAATGAGGCAAGGTAGCAATGAAAAGGGCTTATTATTTCAGAGCACCTTATAAAATGTTCTTGATACTGATACTGATACTGATACTGATACTGTGTATTTATAGGTAAGTACGTACGAGTAGTTTTTTACATTGTAGTTAAGACTGAAAGAAGGAAATCAAAGTCACTGAGTAAAGCACTAAGATCCTTTCTGTACATTTGTTCAGGGTGACAGCAGTTATCACTCTTTCCTGTTACTAAGCAGAGAGGATTCTAGCATGGTGAGTGTATTAACAAACACATGGCACTGCATGTCAAAAGATATCTTTAACATGCAGACAACGCTAAGTGAAAGATGACCAAAACCCCTCACTTTTAATTACAGTAAATGCAATGTAGTTTTTAATGTCAGATGTCTTGCTGTACCATTGACACTCAATGAATGTTTCAGTTTGACACACTTGTAATCTTCCTGGTGACTTTTACTTCACCAATCAAAATTTAAGAATTTCAAAGTTTTGTTATAACTTTTTGACATGCTGTTTGCAGGGAAAATCTTCCTGTTGCCACAAGGCAAGCTTCATCCCCTTACTTCTAGGTTTTCACTGGTTAAATCAAATGAGAGCATTTAGAAACTTACAGTTGGACGCTGCTAATTTGAACTTGGTTATTTCAAATTCCTCTTTATTTTGAACCCAAAAACTGTGTCCCTTGGATTTGCCCTTCAGTCATTTACTAGCAGTTATTTTAAACTCGCGCTATTTCAAACTATCTTTTGCTTCCCCGAGAGTTCAAAATAGCTTCTCAGTGAATAGTTTCATAAATATATTCGAAATAGTTTCTCAGTGAATATTAGAATTTATCGTCAGAGTTCTAGTAGTTGGTATGGAGATAACATTTGATTTTCTGTATATTTATACCATTTGCACTGTGTTTAGGTGTTGAAGACAGAGCAGGAGATTATGGAGCTTGATCACTCAGGCTTTACGTCTCAGTACCCTACTGTGTTTGCTGGAAATCTTGGAAATGGAAAATATATCTTACAGGTTATTGTCACATTTGGTTGAACTTACCTTTAGGATCTCATTAGCTATTGAGTTGGAGTAAGTAGTAAATGGATTAAATGAGAGGTTCTAAGGTGACTAAAAACTTGGCCCAGAGTGCATTATAAGGAGAAATCTCAATAGCTGGTTTTAATTTCTTTTGCAGGTTACTCCTCAAGGTGTCAGATTATTAGAAGGAGGTGAGAATTAGTTTTTTTACTTCTATGTTTATGCAAAGAAATCATGGCCATGAGATTGTTGGGAAATGTGTTAACAATTAGTTAAAGATTTTTTCATTGTTATAAGTCCAATTGACATATGCAATACTCAAGACAGTGTTCATCACATTTGCAAAGACCTCAGATTTCATCAAAGCATGCATCAAATTTTTATTCCTCTTCTCGTTGTTTGGGAAGATTATGAGTAACTCACTTGTGTTTCATTGCATGATGTTCGATATAGAGCAGTTTTCAACTGAGTGTCATAAAACCAAGACCAATGCAGTCATTCTAGCCAGTCACAAAGGACACATGCAATAAAATGAACAACTCAAACTGAAAATAAATAACGAAACTGATGTGAAGTGCAGGAAAATTCGTGCAATCAAGTCACGATTGGTTTTGGTTTCACTTCTAATTGGATGAAAAAGTGGCTAAAGTTTTTCAAGCCACGGACTTATCACAGAGATTTGAAAATAGGTTTGGCCTGACCAACTTGCAGTATCTTGGAAGTTTACTGTTTGACCTTACATTATGTTTCAGTAACACAGTTACATCACATTCCATTGGATGCTGGCCTGTCATCTATTGTATGGTGTTCACTGTCTGATCCTTATGCAGTGATGATGACAGCAGATGGCTCCATTATTTTACTTGAGTTTACATTAGAAGGTATTGAGCCAAAGGTCAAGATATCCAGACCACAGATCAACCAAGTAAGTTTTCTGTTTTGTGGGTTTCTGGCTTGTTTTGGCCAAGACAATATTGTTTAAGGTAATTCCTTAGTATTGCATTCGGCATCCCTAACCCGCATGACTTGCGCGTCATTAGTGCGTGCACATGAGCATGTGCGCGTACAAAACGTAAGAGATTTCTCTCAAATGAGCACGGTAACCCATGATTTTTTTTTTCAGGTATTTGCTAAGAACAGTCTAATAAAGAAGATATTTGAAGAAGAAAAAAAGTGTGATAGTAGAACATGAATTTTTTTTGGAAAATAGTTCCGTACTGGGTGTATTTTGGCCAAGGCAAGGACTTCAAGCTAACCACGGAACTGTCTGAAAAAGTGCAATATTCCCACAACCAGGCAATCAAAAACGGCTCAAATGAAGTAATACTGCTTATGTGAATAATAGAAGCTTTACTTTCGAGATAAAATTTTATGTCTTTCAAGCAACCAAGACTTAATTCTGTATGAAGGTGATTTGAATTTTTAACGCACAACCAGTAAAAATACCCCATTCAAAGAGCCTGCTGACATGTAAATAAGCACAGTGACCCCTTCTTTTTATTGCATTTTTTTAGTGTTCGTATCATGAATGTTAATTGTGCCAAGTTTCAAAAAAAGTTTGATCGTAGAACAATTGCAAGGGAATTACCTTAAGTTGAATTTAGGTTAACAAAAATCCAAGGCTAGTTAATACTATACTGGTTCAGATACATTTTAAAGGGAGCCTTTGTCAGAAATTACTTCAATGATCATTATTAGTTATGGTGGTTTATAGCAAGGGTATCCCTTTATTTGAGTACTAAATTCAGATGTTTCTGTGTGCACAAAGTTATTGAATACCATAATGTTTCTTTTTGCTTGCTTGCTTGCTTTTCAAATTTCTTAAGTGTTAAGTTAAATGGCTTAATTTCACAAACACAGTGACTTTACATACTGATACAATTTACATGACACTGTGGTTTGATGCCAAAGTATTACACATTTTAATATAAGGAAGTAGATAAATTCTGTTCAATTCTCAAGTTTTTGGAACATCAGCCAAGAACAAAGTCTTGTTAAGAGTTCTGTCACCCAGGTGATCTAAACCAATACCCTTTATGTGTTCATGTTTTTTGTTAGGGTGCTAAGGTCTGTGCATGTTGTGCATACAGAGATNATGCCAAGTTTCAAAAAAGGTTTGATAGTAGAGCAATTGCAAGGGAATTACCTTAAGTTGAATTTAGGTTGACAAAAATCCAAGGCTAGTTAATAGTAGACTGGTTCAGATACATTTTAAAAGGAGCCTTTGTCAGAAATTATTTCAATGATAATTATTAGTTATGGTGGTTTATAGCAAGGGTATCCCTTTATTTGAGTACTTAATTCAGATGCTTCTGTGCACACAAAGTTATTGAATACCATGTTTCTTTTTGCTTGCTTGCTTTCTTTTCAAATCTCTTAAGTGTTGAAGTTAAATGGCTTAATTTCACAAACACAGTGACTTCACATACTGATACAATTTACATAATACTGTGGTTTAATACCAAAGTATTACACATTTTAATATAAGGAAGTAGATAAACTCTGTACAAGTTCACTTCTCAGGTTTTTGGAACATCAGCCAAGAACAAAGTCTTGTTAAGAGTTCTGTCACCCAGGAGATCTAAACCAATACCCTTTATGTGTTCATGTTTTTTATTAGGGTGCTAAGGTCTGTGCATGTTGTGCATACAGAGATGTCAGTGGTGTATTTTCAACAGAGAAGGTTGAACAGTCTAATAATGAAGCACAACTACAGGTTACTACTCCTACTACTCCAAAAATGTGAGTCTACATGGAATGAAGCTTGTGATTGATAAATTGATAAATAAATACTAAACATTTTTGGTGTTTCTATCAAGTTCAGCAAACAAGAGTGGAAGTATGGAAGGACATGAGATTCTTTGTGAGCAGGAGCTACAGACAAGTGTTTTCACAGTTTTGTTTAGAGTCCTCTCACACTTTGTAAGGGTTTCATTAGAAACTCAGAGAAAATATTTCCATTTCTTTTAGAAAACACTGGCTGTGAAATGACGAAAAATTTCTACTAGTAATTTTTATTATTTTTTACTATCGAATTGTATCTTTTCTTTGCTTCGTGCCATCATTACATCAACAGCTCGTGTTGGTTCTGTTGAGTTACAACTTTTAGTTCACGCTATCTTACAGGGTCCTCTTGAATCTCACTGAGATCAAATAATTTTTCTTTACCTTGTGTTGTGCTCCTCCATTCCTTTCTAGGGTTAATTCTCAAAGGGATTTATCCTTGAGTTGATTTCCAGCCCAACATATTACTGTAGAGTTAATTAGCTACTTTCCCGGCTCTTGAGTATAATTTTTGTTTACACACTTTGATTCAAAAGAGATCCAGGACAGCTTATCTGTTGTTAAAATGTTTGACCTCCAAACTTGGCTCCTTAATTACTCCTCCTCACTTACTCCTTTGTTTCTCATGTGAACATGCTCCGTTTATTGTATATGTTACTGCTGGAGGCATGTAATAATTGTATGTCTCTTTTAGCACGGACGTTGTTGATGAGGATGAATTGCTGTATGGGGAATCATCTTTACCATTCACTTCAGTTGAGNGAAGCACAACTACAGGTTACTACTCCTACTACTCCAAAAATGTGAGTCTACATGGAATGAAGCTTGTGATGGATAAATTTATAAATAAATACTAAACATTTTTGGTGTTTCTATCAAGTTCAACAAACAAGAGTGGAAGTATGGAGACACATGAAATTCTTTATGAGTAGGAGCTACACACAAGTGTCTCCACAGTTTTGTTTAGAGTCCTCTCATACTTTGTAAGGGTTTCATAAGAAACTCAGAGAAAATATTTCCATTTCTTTTGGAAACACTGGCTGTGAAATGACGAAAAATTTCTACTTGTTAGTTTTTATTATTTTTTACTATCGAATTGTAACTTTTCTTTGCTTTGTGCCACCATTACATCAACAGTTTGTGCTGGTTGTATTGAGTTATGCATTACAGCTTTTAGCTGGCACTATCTTACAGGGTCTTTTCAAGTCTCTGAGATCAAAGAATTTTTCTTTACCTTGTGTTGTGTTCCTCCATTTCCTCTCTAGGGCTAATTCTCAAAGGGATTTATCCTCGAGTTGATTTCCAGCCCTACATATTACTTTAGAGTTAATTAGCTACTTTCCCGGCTCTTGAGTGTAATTTTTTTGTTTACACACTCTGATTCAAAAGAGATCGAGGACATAAGCTTATCTGTTGTTAAAATTTTTGACCTCCAAACTTGGCTCTTTAATTACTCCTCCTCACGTACTCCTTTGTTTCTGATGTGAACGTGCTCCATTTATTGAATATGTTACTGCTGGAGGCATGTAATAATTGTATATCTCTTTTAGCATGGACATTGTTGATGAGGATGAATTGCTCTATGGAGAATCATCTTTACCGTTCACTTCAGTTGAGGAAAATCAACAGCAACAAAAACTCAGTGAAAGGTGAGTTTATTTATTTTAGGATTCGTACAAGTACAGGTGCTTAACAATAGGACATAAGTCCCCTACTTGGTTGCCTCAAGGCTCATGTTAGATGAGCGTAGGAAAGATATCTAACAATTCGCAATGAGTAAGTGTTTATTGTGAACTTTAGGTGACCCTTCAGTGAGGGAAGTAGTTCCTGTCAAGGGTTCTCCTGTCAATACTTGCAGTCTTTTGTATTGCCAAACTATTAAAGTTTTCAAAGATTCTCTTTACCTGGTGTAGATTTAGATAGCTCATTACTTGTTGTTTGGTTGACCAAACACAATTATCTAATAAGTTAATAAAGATGGTGACTCTTAAGCTCGGTAATGAAATGTGAAGGTGACTCAGAATTTTTCTTTGTCCCACGTTCGTGTCATGTTGATTAATTCACCTTCACAATTATCTAATATTAAAGACAGGCAAAATTAATCTCCATGCATTTTGTCAAGAAGACATGCTGAATTAAAAGGTGTCATCTTTTCATTTAGCGTTCCTGTTGCGGAATCCAGTGCCGAAGTGGTGACGCCCACGTGGTGGTGTGTGGCTTGTCGTGAGAATGGTGTCATGGAGATTTACACCTTGCCTGACTTCAAGTTAGTTTTCCTGGTTAAAAATTTCAACATGGCTCCAAGAGTGCTTGTGGACAGTGGGTCAGCATCTGCTGCAAGGTATCAATCACCTCTGCTTAAAATGGTTTTCATTTGAGTGTCAAAAAGTAATCAATTTTGCATCGACTACCACTACTCCCACCACTTTTTCATTCAATCAGATGTGAAAACAAAACACATGGTAACTTGGTCAATTTTTCTTGTGCTTTGCATCAGCTATATGTAATTACCTTAAGTTTCAATTGGTTCATTGGATTGTCGTTGTTCCTTGTGATTGGTTAGAGGTGATTACTTTGGTTGCGGTTTTACAACACTCAATTGAAAACTGCTCTAATAGAGATCTATATAATTTAATTATGGAGCTTCAATCATGGACAAAAGCGGTTGAGACACTACCCGAAAAAGACCTGTTTGGTTGAACGTGTGAGTTTTTCAATCTCCAATTTCACATTTCGACCCCCTCTCCCCTTTTCAATGTTGTAACATTGAAAAGGGGGAGAGTGGGGTTTGGCTATCGACCAAAAAGATGTTTTTTGAAATTACGGAAGAACGCCGATAGAAAGCATTTGTTTTGCTTAAATGTGTCAACACTTTTGTCCATGATTGTTGGTATAATGACCTTATCTTGACAAAAATCTCAAAATAGAGGTTGGTTTAGGTAAGAGCTTAAAGGGGGGGGTGTTTGTTGTGTTGTATCCTTGAGCCAGACACATCTTTCTTACACACAGGATTATTACTGGGCATAACCTGCATTGGACTAGTTTACTATCCAGGGGGGAGTGGTAATTCTAGTCAGTTGATTCACGGCAAACTAAGAGCTAAGCCTGAGATACCTGGCTTGACCAGTTTTGCATAATAGATACTTGTAAGCTTTGTTACTCTGCATCAGAGTATGGTTTAATTTTGTACAATCACTATTCAGTTTTTTTTTTTAATTTTGCTCTTCTTGATTATTCTCCACCATGTGATGTAACTGACCACAAGACAATCACATTTTTAATTGTTAGGAAACCTACATATTGTGTTGTTCCAGAAGATATCGTTACCCTTCAATCAGAACCTGCACCTCTCCTGAAATTCCAGTTTGGCCTCATACTTTCCATTAACTTTTTTGGCATCTGAGACCCTACACTCCCTTCAGAACTTGCTGTAATGTTTCGTAGGGAACAGTTTCGTAGAAACTGCATTATATTTTTATTTACGAACAGTAATCTGAGCAAATGACCTCATAATTTCGACAAAATCGCTTCATTTGTTTATAAGACAGCATCTTTCAGTCATTTTAAGATTATTCCAGATCTGATTGGTTTGTACAACTCTAACTTTGGCATGTGATGGCACACCACAGAACTCCTTTCACTGCATGAGTTAAAAGTTTGAATTGCTCATTTGCAGCAGTATGATGTCAGGTGGTGTTGGTCAGGAGGACTCTGTGCCAGTCAAGGAAGTGTTATTAACAGGACTGGGACACAAGAACAGCAGACCAACGTTGATTGCATTTGTGGAACAAGATCTTCTGATTTATGAAGCATTCACCTTCACTGAAGCATCTGTCGAGGGTCATCTTAATGTCCGATTTAGAAAGGTATGTCTCAGCACCTCGCTAAATCCTTTATCTTATGTTGTCCACATCATGCTTCTAAAATGTTATGCATTGTGGCAATGCAACAATAAAATAGCTATTACTACAGCAGTACAGTTACCAGGCATTAACTCTGCCATATGTCATTAGCTTGGGTTAGTTATTATATCTTGACCAGCAATAGAGTCCCTTCTGATCAACTGTGACCAATTTTTTTTTTTCACAAATAATGTCTGTGGGTTCTTACAGCAAATATTCTCATTCTTACCCACAGGCATGTGCAGTATTTATACTGTGCTCATTGTGACATTTTTGACAGGGCTTTAAACTTACCAGTCACAATGTTTAGGTTTTATTCAAGTTCAGGATAATAGTGATGCCTTTCAAACATAATAATTAGATTTTAGTTCAGGACAAGCATTATCTAATATTTAGCATACACAAGTCTTGATGTGTTTAATATGTAAGAACACCTCACCAGGCTTGGTTGTTCCATTACAAAGCAAAGTAAGGAAGTTACATTAGCATGAAATGAATGGAAAAAGGGTATTTCTGTATGTTTGTTTTGGTAAATTAATTTTCTCTCTCTTTCACTATCATGCAATTGTGATTATACAATTTAGGATGGAATGTGATTCCTGGTCTTGTTTTGTTTTAGTTGCAGCACAATTTGCTTCTTCGTGAAAAGAAATCAAAGCAACAGAAAGTAAAGCAGGCTGATGCCAGTCAAGGTACAAATAACAAACTTACTACAAAACTCAAACCTGACCATAACAGACTAAGTATTGTCCTTATGTGTTCTACTGTTAGGAATGAAACCCAAAGTTGCCAGTCTACGTGTGTTCAGTGATGTCTCTTCTTATTCTGGGGTAAGTTATAAATATTGAAGGCTTTCATGCAAAAAGCATTTTGGCTGATTTTTATTTTTTGCAGGATGGAGCTCATTTTTGGCAGACTGACTTGTTTTGACATGAAAAGCATCTTTGCGTAATTGTTTTTGTTGATTTGTGCTTCGTTTTCAAGAAATAACGTATGTAAAAAAAACTCAGTTTTCCAAGGGTATCTTTTAGAGATCTTTTGTCGAACAAAAAACAAAAGAAAACTTTTGTTTTGCTAAACGATGAAGTCACCTAAGCATGGCATTTGCTGCTAGTTGTTCGAACCGATACAAGTTTTCTTATTCATATAATTACGCTGTTTTCTTACTGTTCCTTCATTAGCGCGGGAGAATAAGGTGCTGATTCAAGTTTGTTTTGTCATGACACTGGTTTGATACAAGGGTGGTCGATATTTTTTTTCTGGTCTATTTCTCTTCTTCTTTCAAAAATAAAAACATCTATTTAAAAAAACCATGCTGTCGAAGCTGCTAAAAGTAACTGTTTAAGTTCACGTTGCATCAAAATCCACCTTCAAGTTTTTTTTGCACACGTTATTTCTCGAAAACGAAGCACAAATCAACAAGAACTATAATTATGCAATGATGCTTTTCTTGTCAAAACAAGTCAGTCTGCCAAAAACTAGCTTGATCCTGCAAAACATGAAAATCGGCCCAAAATGCTATATACGCCTTTTTTGCACAAAAGCCTTCAATTTCTGTTCTTCAGAATTACAGCATTTTTACTGAATTGGATGGAACTCTATTTTGAAACATATTTTTCTAAGAAAACCTTTGATGGAAGAAAGAAGAAAATATCACACTTTTGTTGAAAGAACTTGTCTATAATATTAAAATTCTCTATTTGTAAGAACAACTATTCATAATTATATACAAAGGCCATCAATGTTCAAAAATTTTGACTACCACTTCACAACCGAAAAATTAGAAAATCTATCTTAATAACATTTTCAGAACTTAAAGCTTACAGCCTTGTTCAAGGAAATGGAGGTTCCATTCCAAAGAAACTGAACAAGTTAAAATCCCCAAAGTACGGTTGCTATCCAAAAATTTCCAATGAACTTTTGGGTTACGAGTATTTGAGCCACTATCTCCATAAAGATCATCAGTAAGGTGTAAATCCTGCAAGCCACATAGTTCATTTGTTGCATTTGCAAGACTTGCATGGCTGCTTTTCATGTGGCCTCGATAGCCAGGTTGTTGTTGTCTTTCTGTTTGAAAAAAGAAAGGAGTTACACGTAATTGACCAGATGTAATTTTCTTCAAGCTCCCTGTGTTAAGGGTATGCAAGTAACTAATTGAAGGTTTTCTTCACTGACTAATAACATGATCATAAATGTTGTTCTTTCAGGTGTTTGTGTGTGGTTCATACCCTCACTGGTTGTTTGTTACAAGCAGAGGTGCTCTGCGAGCTCATCCAATGAATATTGATGGTGCTGTTACTTGCTTTGCTCCATTTCACAATGTCAACTGTCCTAAAGGGTTTCTTTATTTTAACAAGAAGGTATTAATAATACTCTCTTTGTTTGTTCATTACCTTCTTTTGTTGTGAACTAAACTGCCATGTTAACTTTTATGTAAGTCTGCTAGGATATAAAAATGTTATCTATTCAAAATGAACTTTATACTTTTTGGAAATGCTGAAATAGTCTCCTGTTTTCTGCATCCAACATGAAGTACATGTTAGAAAATAGCTAGAGTGTCTCCAAAGACAAATATCCTTGCAGATGTTTGAAGCCATGTGGAGGTACTCATAATTATTTTCACACAAAACTTCTTCATTTGAGAGATGTTGATCAAGCTTTCTTAGACTCATTAATAATTCATCAAGTTTAAACAAAGGAAATCATGACCGTGACAGTGTTTGGATATCTGATCTTAATTAACATAGATTTTTGTGATTTTATTTCTCCGTTTTCTCCTTAGTTTTAGTTTTGATTGAGAAGACATATCAAACACTCAAGACAGTGTTTGACCACATTTCCAAACACCTCGAAGTTCATCAAAAATACTTCGCTGCCCCATTTAGATCAATTTAGTACATAAATTTAGCAAAAAAAAAAAAACATGAATGGGCTGAACTGTGTCCTGTGACATGTTTAGACCATTGTAGTTTAATGAAACATTTGGTGGATTCACAAATGTGTGTATCTTATTAGTAACCCAGTTGTGCTGTAAAATACAAAATATAAACAGGTGAAATTGTCAGTGATACTAGTCAAATAACTCTCCAGGAAGAAGCTATCAATCAGTTAAAGACCTGAAGATACTTAAGACTTAGGAACAAATTCTTTCTTTGTTAGCTATTTTGAAAATTAGGAAGTGATATGCATGCATTTTGTCCTTTTCAGGGAGAGTTAAGAATTTCAGTTCTGCCAACACATCTAAGTTATGACGCTCCTTGGCCAGTACGAAAGGTTCCACTAAGATGTACACCTCATTTTGTAGCCTACAACAGAGAAAGCAAGGTAATGGCTTTGATATGGGATAGTGTAATTGAATGCCCAGGTGTAGTAGTTCCTTTTTACCGTTGTTCCATAGTTTCTGCTGTTCCACTGTTCCATTGTGTGACTGTTCCACTGTACGTGTTGGTATTTTAATATAGAATAAATATTTGTTGTTGTTTTTTTCACCAGACATATGCAGTTGTGACAAGTTTATCAGAACAAACTAAGAAAGTGGTGAAGTTGAATACTGAAGATCATGAGCCAGAGGACATTGAGCGAGGTATGCTGTACATAAATGAATCTCTGCCAATGTTGGGAGGTAGTTTGATCAAAAATGGTTGCACAGAGAGTATATCTGTCATTTTTTCTTGAGTGAAGATAATATTGAGAACCATTTTTTTCATTTGCATATTCAAGTTGGCTTGTAGATTTCCATTAAATTCTCTGTCCCTTTTATGTCCTGGGGCCCATTTCTCGTAAGCCCCAGAAACTTTTCAGGCCTGTAAAGCCATTTTTAATTTCTCTGTTTGTAAAAACTGAGAGGTGTATATACCTGAAACTTCTTGTATGAAAAGAACCTCTGTTGATATCAAGAATATGTGACTAAAATGGCACTGTAATCATAAGGTTTGGGATTTCACTACAGCTTTCCGGGTGCAAAAACTTTTCGGGACCTTTGAGATATGGGCCCCTGGACTTTTCTCTAAGTGTACATGTAGTCTCACTCGTCATGTGATAGCAGCTGTTTTCATTCTTGGTTTAGCTTTCCAGACAAGAAAATATATTGTACACTCCAGTTCCCAAGAAATGACCGAGGAAAAGAAAGATTGTTAATAACTGATGCTCTCTTTTTTTACCACAGATGCAAGATTTGTTTATCCAATCATTGACCGGTTCAGCCTACAGCTTATCTCACCAGTTAGTTGGGAAATCATACCAAGTACACGGTTAGTTTATGACTGTTATTGTCTATAGTAGTAGTACATATTGTGCGTATGGGGAGACGCTCATTAACCGCGCGGCCATGGGCCGAGCGCGGTTCTAGGTTTACCCGTGGTTTATTTTTT